CAGGAAACGGTGTCGATGTTTCAGCAGTGTGAACGGAACACTGACCACAGAACAGAGTAAAATAATCCTTAATCCAAGAAGTTGGAGCCATAACTATACGCAGTATTTCTGCAGATCTGTGCAGTACATGATGCTGCAGCTTTGTCTGAGTACATGGAGGTATTTTGGTAAAACTTGCAAGGGTACATGAATACAGAATGCAGTTGTTGCCACACCTTAGTGAAGTAAAGACATTTTTGAAATTTATTTGCCTGACCCCTCCAATAGCTTCGCTCCGCCCCTTATATTGCGATCCAGTGGTATAGTGCAAATAATGAAAATGATTATATTCTGCAGTTATGTTTGTAGACCAGCTCGTGGACACTCACAGTTAGAACTGATGGGAAGTCAAAGAAGTTCCTTTTACTTTTGAATCAACTTTTTCATTTGTCCGGGGGTAAATGAGGACATGAACTGTGAATTGGAAATATTTGAAAAAAAAATAATAATAAAACCTCTAATGCATTAGTTGTTTAATTAATTATTCAGAACACATTAATTAAAATGATCTATTATGCCATGCCCCTGGTTATCTGGTTCACTGAGCCAGTGTAGTTCTAAATCTGCAGAGGTGCAACTTTTGCAGACGGGCATTAAAAGCTGCTGACCTGGCAGACAGAGAGTCACGTCTGTTTATAGTCACAAACACAACATCTGACATTTCGCAGCTTTTCTTGGTCGGAAGCTCGGCTTTGATTTAAGGACTTTTAACAGTTTCCGTGATTAAACATTGCTCCCGGTGGAGCACGGGAGGTAAATAACCTTAAACTACTTTTTTTTTTTTTTTTTGTGAATGGTAAATTGCAGCGCCTCACTGCACTAGCCATATAGCTTGTCACAGGGCCTTAAACAAATTGGCAACTCAAAGTACACCTAGCCAATAACTGTGCTTTCCCTTCAACAGAACCGTGCCATGTGACTTCCATTAGAGAACATTCACGACGTAAGGAAAAATGAATTCCACTTCAGAATGCTGTAAATAGGATTTGGAATATCGTCTTTGACACGTCACATTTGTCTCGATGGACATTTAGGCCAACATGAAGCCAGATGCACTTCTTTGCGAGATAAGACATCAAGAGCTTCTGACGTTTTTTTTTTTATCACTGTAATATAATCAATGTAACACAAATTCAAAGCCATTTTTCATTTTCTGTCCACTCTGCTCTGTCCTCCTCTGTGCCTCCGTGTGGAGCTGTGTTTTTCTAACCCATTTACTTCTTCTCTACTCTTTGCTCTCCAGCTCTATTACAATTTAACATCCTCTCTTTCTCAGGGCTGCACTTCCATTTCTTTTATCTCTGTCTATCTTTTTCACTGTTTCTCCGGCCCTAACCTCTCCTCCTTCTTTACTTTAATAGTCTCTTTTCCAATCTTCGCCTGGAATCCCAGCCTCTCCCTTCACCTCTTTCTATCTCATTTATCCAGCATTCATAATTTATTTGGCTTTGCCTATTGTCTCTTTTGTGTTTCTGCTCCGCTCCAACTCCGCAAACAAAAAGACTCAAATCACCTGTGTAATAATGCATTTTCTCATCATAGGCATTGTATTCTTCACTAATTATGTTTCTAATAAACTCTCTCTTTTTTCAGATGGGGTGTTGAGCTTGTGGAATGATGTGGCAGACCTGGGGTTGATGGGCGATGTTCTGTCCAGTCTCCAGACTGAATTATTAGCCACTCTCGAAGGTGTGGACGTCCGCAGTGGGCGGGGCGGTCTGCAGGAGACGGGTGAGTGACTGCACTGCACTGTGGGTAAAAGTTGAAATAAATAGTTTAGTGTACAATTGATTTATGCAGTGTGTTCAAACCTGTGCCTGTTTAGTTGAATCCAACAGTTATATACTAGCAGGAATTCAAGAAATATGCACACATTTTCAGTTTTTGACATTTGACATTTTTATTACAAATACAAATATAAAAAAATGAGTGATGACTTATTTTTTGATTTATTGTTTGTTACAATGTGTTGGATTTGTACTAAGTCTAGTCTAGAAAGTGTGAAGTATAGAAAAAAGTACAATTAGGAAAGATTTCACAACCCCACTGTTGAAGTACCTCTGTGGACCCCCAAGAGGTTGCAGACCCCCTGTTGAGAACTTCTGGTACAGAGTTAGGCTTTAAAATGTCTATTGTTTCATTATTATTGAGATGGATGTCGACACAAAGCATGACCTGGATTTCCTGCTTCTGAAAATGAGTAATGTGTTGCTTTGGCCTGAGGCGAAATGACTGCACTGGCTGTGTGTGTGTGTGTGTGCGTGTGTGTGTGTGTGTGGCAGTTGTGTCTAAGTCTCCTCAAAGCCTTAGCTTCTCTGCTAGTAATCATTCCTGTTTAAGTCACTTCATTTTGTTGGGCTGAGTGAAAGTGTGTGGAACAGACCAGGCTGTAACGTTGAAGCTGATGTCAGGTTTGATCAAACATCTCAAGGGGGCTCTCCTCCTGCTGTCACCATGGCAATGCTAACATGCTAATTATTTTTGTTTTGTGCAGATGCTGTCATTCTTAATTCCTTGTGTAAGATGTTTGGGCTTTTAGACTCGGTGAAGCGAGCTCTGGACCTGAGGCGCAGTCGGAGTGAAGAAAGCAGAACCCATGACGGCGCTGAGGGTGAGGATGTTGTTTGAAAGTAACGAACACTACGATCTGTGCTGTGATGTGTCAGTCAGCTGCATCATTCATACTGCGCTTTCCCCTCAGTATTTAGTGAGAGTTGGGAGGAGCGGCAGACGCCCGGTGGTGATAAAAGCACCTACAACTGCACGTCCTCCAAACGTCTTCAATCTGAGGGGCACAACCAGGACGTCCTGTCCTCCGTGAAAACAAATCAGCGGATCCAGGCTCTCGCCGTCCCTCCTGGATTATCTGCTTCCTCTCACGCTCAGCTCTCCGTCCACCCTCAGTACTTCACCCACGTCTTCGTCTCCAGTGACCAGCACCAGCATGGAAGAACTGGAAAGATGGACAGAAAGAGGAGGCATGGGTTAAATGACAGGAGGAGGAGCCAGGAGCAGGTGCAAAAACACAACACCTCAGGGAGCTATGAAGTAGCAGGACTGAGGGGTGGCCTCCATCCTGACATTCATGAAAGTCCAGAAGTGGAGACAAGGGATTTTCATGACTTTGGAAGAGTGATGACTGAAAGAACATCATCAAAGAAACATAAAAGTAAGAGGGAGTGAAGGGGGGAGTCCAGAGTCCGGAGTCGGCAGGAGCCCCAGGCAAAAAGACTTAAATGATGAAAGTTTAAAAAATGCACAAGAACAGACATTTTAAACTTTGGTCATAGATGAATCAGTGTTTTTACTGATTGGTTGATGTTTTGCACTGATATCGTCAAAGGCAGATTTATGGATGTCATGTTTGACATTTCACACTTACAAATAGTCAATTAACACAGAAAAAATGCTTTAATTAACTGTCTAAACCAGTGGTTTCCAACTGTCCCTACATTAGAGCGCCCCCTCTTTTGGTTCTTGGACCCTTTTCCCCGTTGTTGACTTTGAAACACGATAATTCCTACAAAACTGAACAAAGGAAATTAAATGAGAAGTCAGTACAAATACCCCCACTGTGGTGCTAATGAACAAAATATTAAAATTGAAATGTATTTGTCTCTCTGTGCAGTGGGCCCCGCCCCCCAATTTGGGAGCCACTGGTCTCAACTGAAAATTGCTTTTGGTGAAGTCTTTTTTTTTCCACTTTGTAGAAGTTTGCCACATTAGTTTTTCTGCTCTAATTATAAATAGTCACTCAGCCATACTGGTCTTTTTTATAGTGTTGATAATTATGAAACACAAATATATGTTTCAGCCTTGAATAGATAAACAGAACAAAGTGTAAATATCCTTCAGTTTTTATTTATTATTCTGTGACTATACAAACCTTTGTGATTATAGTCTCCCTCATCAACGCTTTGTTCCAAATCAGAAATACTTCACCAATCCACAGGATGAAAACTGTACTTGTCAGTTTACCTTACACATTGATGACACATTGATGCCACATTTTCTGATAAACGTTAATAGGTGTTAATAGTACCTATTTAAAGGCATCCTAGTCTGGAATACATGACTAGGATGAATCATTTCAGCATAGTTTTTGAAAATACGTAAAAAAGGGAAAAGTCTGGAAAAACAGTATAATTTGCTCTTTCTTGAGTATTAAATCAGATCTCCACTGTGTAACCCCACAGATACATAGGCAGAAATAAAAACATTAAAGTGTATGTGTTATATTGAACAGCAAATGTGGGGGTGGGTGGTGGTCCAGAGCCGGAATTAGCCCCCGGACCAGGAGTTTGGATCCCCTGGTTTAAAGACATATAAAGCAAAATACAGACAAATAATACACTGTGTTGAGGTCAAAGGCTCCAAGACGTTGTTCAAGTGTAGTTTCATGGTGATTTCATTGTAATCACCTGCCAATGAAACATTGATATTTGTCATATTATCATATGGTCTGGAGCGAATTAAAGATGAAAGCCCAGCAGCACCACAGAGTCTACGATGTAAATCACTGTCTGCTCACTGCTTCATATACCAAGGCACACACAGACTGGTCGCAGCTGTAATAACATGATATTATCACTCCATCACAGGGCAGGTACATTTGTACATCAGAGAGAGAATGAATGACAGCTGATCATTAAACAACCTGCTGTCAGTCTCTCTGCCGACGCCTCTGTCACCGTCAGGAAGAAGCCGCGGTTTGCTTCATCCGTGCTGGCTGTAGTGAAAATTAAAAGCATCAAACAGTTGAGCAGATTGCAAGTGCTGGCTAATGTAAATAAATTGCTAACCTGTGCTTTTTTCCCTTCTTCTTCTTCCAATAGCAGTGTGCAGAATGGATGCTGTGCATCAAGCAGGTGCAATTACAGGTGTTGGCCTGACATATGCAGTGTTTCACTGGTTAAAACGAGTAATTTGCACAGTGATCCATCGCTCATCTGTCATTCAAAGGCTAACAACGTTAGAGACAGAGGTGTACACTCACTCACTGCACTTAGACGCCCTGCGGGATATGTGTCTGTTGGTCGCCTTTAATTCAAATTTAATGTTCAAGCACAACAGCTAACTGAATGATGAATACCCAGAATAATGTTGACAGAATGCTGTTGTTTAAAGCATGTTTACGCTCCAGCATGGTTCATGGTTAGAAGACAATAAGACTAGCATTGAACCAGCAATGAATTTAAATTGTACCACCCAATGTTTATATATATATATAATAAAAAATTAAAAATAATATATATATACTGCATACATATATACCTATATCTATAGATAGATAGATACCATATATAGTATAGTCTATTCAAAGCAGATCTGCATAATTTGAATTATATCTCTGCTAACACTGAGGCTAATGATAACTTGGTATGTTTTTTTTGTATAAATATATATGATTTCTTGAGGAAATATATACCTACTTCAAACAACTTTACTGTGACTTTTACTAAAACCAACTAAACCCAACTCTTGTCCAAACCTGTTCTAACCTTAGTCTTTTTTTTGTCAGTGAAACACGAGCAAAATTTTCCCACAGGGTTAAAATTTCCACCGCACGCGCACGCACACGCACATACACACACAAACAGGTGGTTTGTTCGTGTTTCGCTCGGTCGACGTTTGAGTAGTACAACGTCGTTTCCAGTTTCGTCCACGTGGGGTCGCCCGACTCATACGTTGTCAGTGGAGCTACGAAGCGGAGGCAGGGGTGGAAAAGTGGGCTCGAGAAAGAAAGCTCTCCCCTCAACTGTTTACCCTGACGTCAGTTTGCAGAAGTAGCTCTGCCCTGTCTCCCTCAGTGTCTCTGAAACTCTGAAACTGCGTGTGTGAGAACTGACCGGGAGAGAAGAACACATGGGGCTCGGCTCTGGTACTCGTGCGCGCGGACTTCACTGAGTGAATGAAATGTTTGCTTCTGCTCATTTAAAGTGGACTATAACAGCTTCACTATGAACACCTGCGCCTTTCTTTTGATTTTGGCTGTTCAGATTTACGCCGATGGCATCGAGGGACCAACAGGTAAGACCCGTGTCAATTTCAAATCTGTACGCGATAATAGTGTTTTTTTTGCACGAGGTTAAAACTCAATTTAAAGCAAAAGTAGAGCGAGTCTGGTGAAAGTGTCAACTTTCAGTTTTTTCTTTAAACCAGCACGTTGCTGCGCTCGTTTCCCTTGGCGGCTGTTTCTCGCCGACTAACTAACGGTTCGCTGTTCACCCCAACCATTTAAATTCAAATCAAGTAATTTAATAACTTTTTTTGTAAATCGGTACGCCCAAGTTTTATTATACTGTAAAAAATATGGGTAACTTATAAAGATGATACAGGGATGTTCGGGAAGAAGCTCCCGTCCCCCCCCAAAAAACAATTGTACTCTGCTGCTCTGTCCCCGGGCTCATGTCTACAGGCGCCAGGCAGCATGGATGGTGTTATCACTGCGATATGAAGTTTGAAATCAGACCACAAAAAGCGACATTTTCGACCGAAAATATATATATTAAAAAAAAAAAAATCAGCATTCAGGAGCTGATGCACCAAAATCCTCAAAGCCTGACTCAGTAGGTGATGACATCTAAAAACCAAAACCTGGGTCTGCTCCATGACGAATTTTGATCCTATAAATTCAAACAAAGCCAGGGTTTATTTTAATCAGAACATTTCCCACAATTTTTTTTGTATTCACATTATGCTGTTCCCGGCAGCACTGGCTACTGGAACAAAAAGTAAAACCGACTCGGTCTCAGAGATGCTGCATTTGTCTGCTGACGTGTTGAGCTGCCTGTGGTTTTGTGGGTTATTAAGTTGTTGAATACATGTGTGTAATAGATGTTTCAGAAGCATGAAGACTTAAACACATTTGAATGTTAAGTGGTTGCTGAACCTCCTGGCTATATTACTATTTTAAAAAAAGGATATTTAGGAAGTATAAAAAATATAATTTTTTTTAAAAAAAAGTGCATTGTCACTATGCATATTTAAACTTTTCAAAATTAGTTTTCTGATTGGTGGGATTCAACATCTGTGTTTGAATTTGATAAACACAACCACATTTAGATTGAGCATGGAAAAAAATGTCAATTTCTGTTGTTGGTATTGATTTACAGATTTTTTTGCAGCCTTGTTTACATTCATGTTTACTGAATTATAATTTCTTTTACATTGTTAAGACTGCTATTCCAAATGCATTGATCTGAATGAGATCGGCTGTGTTTGAGATTCTCTCCCCTGTCTCTCTTCCTCTCTCTCTCTCTCTCTCTCTCTTCCTCTCTCCCTCTCTCCCTCTATTACCTCTGCCTTTGCATAATGTTTCCCCTGTGGCACATAAAACCAGGCTAATAAGGCGGTAATATTGGTAACATTTCTACTGCAGGCTGTAAAACAATGTGACACGAGGCTTGTTAGATTCATGGTTGAAAAACAAACAAACAAAAGAAAAATGAATATGTTGAGATCAAAAGGTAGTTTGCCTTGACATGACATTCTGCAGTTGCTCATGTGTTAAAGTACAAACAAAAGGAAGGAAATAACAAACCCAATGTGAGCAGAGTGCGTATTGTCAGGGGCTGAATGAAGCAGATCATGAAGAGGAATGAGATGAAACATACAAAGGATCAGATCACAGGCAGGTAATTAAATGATCTGAATGGATCGGTGACGCTTCACTACAGCAGCGAGAGCGTCTGTCAACAAAAAATGTACATGCCCGTGTACTTTTGTAGTTTGTTAACTGGTGTGCTGCCAGCCATGCACGTCGCGTGGCCCGTTAGAGCGAACGCTGCCAGTTTGTGTGGCTTTTTCCTCTTCATATCTGCTCCACCTGACCCCGGTCTCCTCATCCTCCACCTGCTCCCCTTCCAGTAGGTGAAAATGTTATAGAATATAAATGCAGTCCCTCTGTGTCTTTCTTTTTTTATTACCTCTGCCTTTAAGGCTGAGTCTGTGTGAAGGAGGCCACACCTTAACCTTCAGTTAAACACTGCATACTGGGATTTCTGAGCAGTTTTACACGGTGTAATTTATACCTTCCATATCCTTTGTTTCGGTTTTATGAGATCGGTGCACGTTGTCAGTTCAGGGGAAGTAAAATCATTAGAGGCCATGAAATATGACAGCTCTCTGTTGCACTAGCTTGACATTGCAGGGAATTTGATAATATTTTGCATTTTCATTGCATTTGTTCAGACATAAAGAGGTTATAAAGCAGAGAGTCCGTATCCCGTCTGTACCTACGGTGCATGTTTTTGAACCAGTTTTCGACATTTGCCCTTCTTTGTTGCATCTGCCGGGAATAGAATGGATGTTCACTTACCATCTGTCTCCTCTATTAGCAGCAAATGTTTTCAACTGAGCAGCATAATTATACCGTGTCTCAAGACTCATTTACCAGTTTGATCTAAAGTTGAGGCAGAATATCTGTTTTGCTTACTTGAGTGAATTAGAAAACACTTGGACTTAGATGAAAAGGCCCAGAGTGTCTCAGCATGGCGTGGAATGAATAATGCTTATGAGCTTTGAGTTTGCATTACATAAACATCAGCAGTTCTGATGAATCTAATTTGGGCCCTCCACATGTAGGCATGGAGGGATTATATTTGAAGTAATACTTTATGAATAAATTGGGTGGAAGTTTAAGAAATTGAATTCTTGTCTCTTTTGGTTCTTTAACTTTGGACGTCACTACGAAGCTGAGAACTGACTTGTCAACATTAGTAATGAAAACGTGTTAGGTGAAGGCCTCACCTGGTTTAATCTGTCAATAATAGGAATTTACACACAGACATATCGGTGTGTTTACACAACATCAGAGAAACCAGACAATTGTGCTGTGTTATTCAACCAAATATTTAACCGACTGCATGAAAACTTTCAAAATGCCCTTAATTTGACTCGGGGCACGGTACATGGCCCAGATTGGCTGTGACCTATAAATGTATAGGTAGCATCTGCTACGTTGCAGATAAGCTTACATTCAAACTGTCACCGTCATCCTATACAAACCAAAAAATGGAAGCTGTAGGCATGGATTATCTCTTATTTTTTTCTCTTTTCTCAACATTAAATAAAAAAAAAATCTTGCAAGTTTTTTGTGATAAGCAAGCCATCTAAATGGCCCTTCTGGGCATAAAAACAACACAGTCTTGCCAAAGAGTTGCCTATTTCAGATGCTCTCCACTACAGTGTTGCTCATGGAATGTGACTGCGCCTTCATCTTCAGCCATTGGTTTTCTAGTTAACTGTCAGAATTTGAAAAAATCACTTGTGGAAAAACACTTAAATATGTGGATTTTTGACATGTATGACAGGCTAGTTTCAGAGTATGTTTGCAACTAGTAATTGTTACACATGATTTGAAACAAATGTTTGAATGAAGGAATATTATCGCAATACATATCGCCTCCAAGTGGACATACTTGAGTAAATAAATTGATTCCTTTTTGTGTTTGCTACTGGTGCTAAGACGGTCTGGACTACGGCACTTATGCTGGACTCACATACTGTTAATGTATATTATTCTACAACAGATTAAATGTATGTTAGTGACGTTGAAGTATGAGGATTATTATGAAAAGTCAAAGTAACATTCATCTAGACTGGATACAATGGAAAAAGGAACAATTTCAAGTACCTTTTACGGTAGGAGAGAAACTGCAGGATTTGGCCCATCCAGACATAAATAGTCAAGTACCTTTTATGGTAGGAGAGAAACTGCAGGATTTGGCCAAAGAAAACAATCGCTATCACGACACAGCAGTGGTGACTATTTGTAGAAACATTAGCAGAAAATAGAAAGACAGGACAGTAAATATACAGTAAATATATACAGTCAGTCAGAACGAGCTGCTGTATAAACCACTCAGAGCATGGTAAATACAGGCCACCAGTGTGATATAAATTCTCTTGTACTGCATGTGGTCACTGTAATACAGTATTCCCCAACCTTTTTTGTACCAGACATCGGTTGGTAGCTCTGCGCCTATCTTTAAAGGATTGCTAAAGGATCATTATGGATCAGTAGATTTTCTAAAAAATATATCTTTTAGACTTTATTCTGTTAGTATTGGAGTCTGAAAGACATATTATTTCTCTTTAAATTCTCTTTAAAGGAAGTATTTTATATATTAACTCTAAGTCTGTGTGTACCAGATGACCACCAGACTGGTGCTGGTCCATGGATCGGGGTTTGGGACCACTGTTGTAACAGACTGCCAATATAAATTAGGTGAAAAACAAAATACAAAAAGTATTTAGTAAACAATTAAAGCTAAAGAAAAAGAAATGATCATTAGATGTGAAACATCCTTGGGAAAATAGGGCATTGACAACCCCCCCCGCCCCCTCAATGGACGTGCTCCTACACCACCATCTGCAAATGGAGGCACTGAGCCCCATTCGGAGTCCAGAAGAGACCAGTTGATTCCTGTCTTTGTACGTAGGACCACAGGCAGTGCGGCAGGGAGCAGATGGTTAACTTCGCATCAGGGAGGAAGTAGAATGGAAGCAGAAAAAAGGAGGGTAAAAACCAGGCTGACAATAACCGAGGAATTCATTCACACAAATTGTCTTGATTTGTTCCTCCACTGGGAGCACTGCAGGACATTAGCTGGGCGCCTTTGTCAGCCGTTCTTTCTTGGGCACGTGTGAGTGTGTGATTAAACAGGATGTTTATGCCAGGAGTCCCTCAGCTCTGCCTCCTCTCATCCCATCCTGCTCCCTGATCCATCGTAATATAAAGGTGTGTGGAGGGAAGCCAGCTTCTTATTCACTTACTCATTTCACACGAGTTGTTGATGAAACATATCCATCTACTGCAATTGTTCCAGCCGTAATAATAGAAGCCAACTGCCATGATTGGTTCTCATCACCGGGAGCACGTGTCCAATCAGGGGGCCCCGACTCTGTCTGGCCCTGTTCCTCAGTTCTTCACGATACGTCTCACCTAAGCTCGTGCCACGCTGTGTGGGAAGATACTGGCTGATGCAGGGCTACGGCCCACACGTGTTGTTGTGATTAATTAATGC